CAGCAGGCTGAGGGCAGGCCCCACCGACATGGCTGCCCCAGGCCTGGGCCTGGTGGATCTCCACAGGCCCGGGGTGCAGCTGTCCGCCTGCCCCACAGGGCCTCGTGGGAGCCTCACAGGAGCCTGTGGGTCCCAGCCTCACAGTCCGGGGCTGGGGGTCCCTGGCTCAGCCCCCACTCCGATCTGTCCCCAGGCCACCCAGGGCAGGCGCCAGGCCAGAACCTGCCCCCGGGCACATGGGGCCATCACAGGGCAGGGGGAGGAAGAGGAGGCTCGGAGCCTGACCCGACGAGGGCTGCTCCCATGGGAGCACGGTGGCCACGGTGCCCATTTACTTCATGTCCAGAGGCTGCGGGGTGTCTCGTGTAAATACCTCTGGCAAAAATGCAGAATGGTTTAATTTCACCCATTAGAAGTATGACAAAAATAACCCATCATCTAAACACTCCCCAGAGAAAGATTCTCAAATATAGTTTTACTGGAATTTTTTCCTTGTGTTTCTGTATTCTCCGTCTTCGGGAATGGAAAATGGGCACGCTTACTTGCCTATTTTTTTCTCCTTTAATTCAAAACAATTTCAATACTGGTTAAAATATTTGGTTGCTGGTTCTGAAGTTATTCTGTAAGCACTAAACTACTGTAGAAATAAGGTTGATATAAATTCATGGATAGATTACAGGAACTACTCACATTCCCCTTTATGCTCTTTTGCCTTTAGTATTAAAGGCAGCCTGGAGCTCAGAGGTGTCAAAATAATGGCTTTCTTGATGTATGTATTTGGTTTCCTAATCAAATCCCACAGAAATAAAGCTTTCCCTTAAAAAAAAAATATATCTGGACTTTCACCCATAAAAAACTTCTTGGAGTGACTTTGCTGCATTGTTTTTGCTTGTCACTACAGTGCTAGGGCTGGTATATATAGCTCGGATTTATCACGTCGGCTTGTTAACTCTCAGCTGCACAACGAGCCTCTAATGGGTTGATTTTCGAGGACCAGAGTGGGGAATCGCAGCCTGGATCATATTCCTGTTTCAGGGATGGGATAATGGCTGGGCTGTCCAAGGCAGCCGTGCACTGGAAGGCAAACCTTCCTCCAGAGAGCTGTACTGATGGGAACATTAATGTTTATTGCGCTTGTTGAGTAAATAAAAGCCTTGTTCTGCTCCTGAACTGCCTACAGCTCCATGGTACAGCCAGTGCATGGTGCTGCTGCCAAGAGCCTTGCTGTGCGTCCAGGTCCTATACAGCTCTGCATCATAAATGGTGATTTTCCATCATTTTATTGCTCTTAATTGGAAAGTTGGCCCAGAACTCCCCTCAGAAGAGACTGTAGAGCCCTGTACCCATTTACGGCCCTTCCACTGCCCTCAGGAAAGGATTTGCCAGTGCTTTGCACACCAGTGATAAGGCTCAGCACATTATTTTAGGTTAGTATACAGAGCTATTCCTATTTCTGGTGTGGCTGGAGCTTTCTGGTTTGAGTGTCTACCAAGTTTGTGCAATATGATAAATGAGATTTTTGTATTTCCATCTCTCCTGACAATGGAAAGAAATTTCTATAAGGAAACACATTTTTTTAATTATAGGTCTGACAGCTACCTCAAGTTCCAGTCTCCCCCATCCATAACACACTCTGGGGAGATTAGCCATGTTGCCAGGTGCTGACTCGTAGCTCTCCTTATATCTGAAGTAACAGACTGTGCTTCTAGCATTCGGGAGTGTGGCCAGATACTTGAAGCCTTTCATTTAGTAAAAATTAGCAGAAGCTGCCAGGAGATAAACAGCAATATATTTGGTATGTCCCTCAACTTCTTTTTCTTCATAGCGCATTTTGTTAGAAACTCACAGGAGCTCTTCAGTTAATAACGTGTTGGTATCCAAGGGTAGTCAGGACCATCATCACTTTGCTTGAAGATCTCTCCATCCACCCCAAGATGTCTTTGGCCATTGTCCTGGCTGGTCCCCTCCCCTCATTCGCATGGGATCCTGGTCCTGTGCCTAAAAGCGGAGATAGAAAAGAATGAGAAATCCACACTTTTAGGAGACGTCATGGATTTCTATTCACTTTGGGTGGACGAGCCAAGCCAAACAGCACTGCAGTGGGTCGACGTGCCTGGCAATCATGTTCATGAGGCAAGGTGCTGCCAAGAAAGGGGCAAATCCCTTGCAGGGCAGGGACCGTTGGCCCCACTGCTGGAAACACCGCAATGGCAAAGGGCTCCCGAGCCATAGCTTCCCCCTCCAGCATCTCCCGGCTCTCGCAGCCAGCATTACCTTGAATTTGGAAAAAGCAGCACTGGGCACCCCATCAGCAGCAGGGAAAGCTGCGAAGTTGGCATGCAGGGATGTCAATTTGCCTGTGACTCAGCATCTGATTTATCCCATCCATGCGATGTTCCTGCGGGAAAAGCTTATTAATCAGGTCTGCATTTCCAATGCAGTTCTTTGATTTAGGATCCCCCATGACTAAAGTTTTGGTGAGACTGAAGTTATTACATGCCTTGGTGGCTTCTGGAAAGGGCTGGCAGGCTGGGGAGAGGTACCGAGGTGGCACCGAGGGGTCTGTCACCTCCCAGGACCCCAGGAAGGAAAAGCCCACTGGAGCTGAGCACAGGTCAGGAAGCGCTGTGAAAATGGGGCGCTGCTGCAATATTCATAGGAGAAGGCTGGAGCCACATCACGCTCAGAGGAGGGGGTCCTTCTGTCCAACCCCCCCAGCACAGCATGAGCCACTAACCTTCTCTGGCTGCTGGTGCATCCCCCCCGCTGCCGAGGTACGGCTCAATCACTAATTCGGGGCTCCCTGTTGATGCTGGCTCTGGCACAATGGTGGTTTCTATGGCAACTCCAGAGGTGGATGCAGGGATGGCTTCATCCGAGGTACCGCGAGCCCAGGTATCCCAGGATGTTCCTCCCAAAACACAGGCAAACGGCCATGCAGGACGTAGGGATGGACCCCACAGTCACTGCGCTGGGTAGGCAGTGGAGGTGATGGGGCAACGACACTGAAAACACCTGGCGACTGTGTTATGGTTTAACCCCAGTCGGCAGCTAAGCACCACACACCCACTCACTCACTCCCCCAGGTGGGACGGGGAGACAATTGAAAGAGCAAAAGTGAGAAAACTCGTGGGCTGAGATAAAGGCAGTTTAACAGGTAAAGCAAAAGCCATGCACACAAGCAAAACAAAACAAGGAATTCATTCACCACTTCCCATTGGCAGGCAGGTGTTCAGACATCTCCAGAAAAGCAGGGTTCCATCACACATAATTGTTACTTGGGAAGACAAACACCATCGCTCCCAATGTCCCCCCCTTCCTTCTTCTTCCCCCAGCTTTACATGCTGAGCATGACCCCATATGGTCTGGAATATCCCTTGGGTCAGTTGGGGTCAGCTGTCCCGGCTGCATCCCCTCCCTACTCCTTGTGCACCCCCAGCCTCCTCGCTGGTGGGGTGGTGAGAGAAGCAGAAAAGGCCTTGACTCTGGGTAAGCACTGCTCAGCAGTAACGAAAACATCTCTGTATTATCAACATTCTTTTCAGCACAAATCCAAAACATAGCCCCATACCAGCTGCTATGAAGAAAATTAACTCTATCCCAGCCAAAACCAGCACAGAATGCTCTTTTCTAAATAATTTCCAACTTTCCCCACGCTGTGACGCCCCCGGCAGACAGCACAGCCTGCCCCAGCAGTGGGCCAGATGCTGCCGCACTCTGCTGGGATTTATCTTCCCATCTCTCTGGCCCTGCTACCCATCCGAGCATCGCACTGGCTATCTTTTCCGAAAGGTCAGGCATCTGTGCTTGATATTTACCTGGACCTGCGAGATCTTTCTAATGTCATATCAGTGAAAGATCAAATCCCTCGTCTGCATCTGCTACCGCCGCTCTCTGCTCTGGGCTGCGTGACTCTGCATGGAGCCAAGACCAATGAGGCTCAGGCGAGCCCACAGCACCAGGCAATTGGGGGGTCACGCCCCCACCAGTTTCACTGTACACCCTTAAATGTCACCCACAGACACCACCGGTAACAGAGCTTATCTTCCCTTCCCAGTGCTGGTAAGTGGGAAATGCAGTGTTCCCGCCTGGGACAGCTGGACACAGCCAAATCCAGCTCTCCCAAGCACCAGCCATGCTCAATCCTTTGAGACAGGGCTGTGGTGCTGGATGGGGCCCAGGAGCACCAGCATCATTAGGCATCTCATCTTATTTCTCAGCATCCTGACAGCCCTCACCGTTCCCTGCCCTCTCTCGCACCCCGGCTCCCTCTGACAAAGCCCCTCTCCTGCTGCTGCCTTCACCCACTGCAGCCCCTTTGCCCACAGGAGAGGCCAAGCAGGAGCAAGGCTGTGCCAAGGCAGGGCAGCCACTGCTCAGCTCTCCCTCTCCAAAAGGAGGGCCGGAACCCTGCATCGCATTGCTCCGCTCACCCTGGCAGTGGGGAAAGGAGCAAGAGATGTCTCTGCCCCATAGCATGGGGTCCGGCCAGGGAAGGCTCACCTGGGTCTCCCTTGGGAGGGGGTTTCCTGACAGGCTGTGGCATGTCCCTGCCCGGAGCAGGATAACCAAGGATGACACAACTCCAGTGGGGTAAAATTCCATGTGTTTCATTTATTCGAGGTGCTAAGTCACCTCCTAGGCACTGAGCTACCGGGCACCTCTGTGCTACATGAGACATCGACTGGGTCTACGACGACACAGCACTCACTGCTACACACATGGCACGGACATGCCACAGCACAGACGGGGCCAGACAGGGCAGCGTGGCCAGCGACAGTCCTGCTGCCACTGCTCCCTCCGCGCCACTGGCCGCGGCCTTCCTGCCAGGCAGGATTTTGCCCCTGGCTCCATTGCCACAGCGGTGCAGGAGCCGACAGGGGTTTCCGAAGCATGGCAAGAAACTGCAGCTGCTCCGGCACCTGGCGTCACAGGACGGCAGCTCCCTGGAACCGGGTCACCCGCACACACGGGTGCTTACACACCCTGTCCCCGTCTTCAGGCACTTGGTGCATGGCCGGGGCTGGGCCCCGGGGCCCCACTCAGGGCACCTCGCGCAGGCACAGAGCCTCGACGGCACCGCTGGGGCCCTGGGCCACCCCGCCGATGACGAAGAGCAAGCTGGGTGCTGGGCAGCTGGAGCAGGAGCAGCGGCCGGTGGGCATGGGGGGCAGTGGCTCCCACTTCTTCTGCGAAAGGCTGAACCCTTCCACCGAGTCCAGCGGACAGGACTGGTTCCCTGTGGAAGACAGAATGGCGTCAGACCCCCCGCAGCCCTCCCTGCACCCCAGGCTCTGCCTTTCACCCTTCACATGCCTTTGATGTCCCAGCCTGAGCCCCCAGCGGTGGCCAGTCCCCAAGCCCTGGGCTGCGGGGAGGTCTGTGATCCCAGAGGCAATTAGCAGGGGCACAAAAGGATTAGCGGCATCCCCACAGGGAGGGCAGCTGGCACTGATGCCGCACTGCTGGCTTTGCCCCCATGCCGGCACCCCGCAGCCATCACTGGGGCAGAAGGGAGGGCAGCACCATCCATGGCAGGGCTCAGAAGCAATGCCACACCACAGGGACCCAGCCAGTGCCGCTCACCTTCCCCATCACCTCTTCCTGCCCTGCAGCAGGAGGTCCGGCTTGCCCCGGGCGATCTCGGTGGGGTCTGGCAGCCCTCGCTGCAGGGCTGGGGGTGCTGGCTGGTGCCAGGCTCCCCAGGCAGCCCTCCCCGCTGCATCCCCACTGCTGAGTGACAGCACTAACCTTTCCCCAGCTCTCTCGGGAGAGGGATGAGGCGCTGCAGCCCTGCGCGGCGGGGCTGAGCCGACCTGGGCTGTGAGCCCAGCACGCTGCACATGAGCTGGGGAAGGCCTGGCTTGAGGGGGTGAAAGGTGCAAGCTGCTCAGTGGGGGCAGCCTGTGGGTCAGGGCAGTAGGGTCCCCCCAGCACTTGGGGGGCACAGGAGGGACGCGGCTGCAGACGGTGTTGCAGTAGCCCCATGGTTTTACACAGCCGACCTCCCCATTGCTGCGCAGGTCACTGATGTGCCACAAAGGACAGGGATGGGAACACAGCCACGTGCCTACGCCCAGCATTACCGAGACCACCCACAGCCACCACTCTTCCTCCCAGGCAGCCGGCCACAAAGTCAGCTCTCTTCTCCCTCATGCGGATGGCACGGCTCGGCTTGCTCCACGCACCTGGGGGTGAAAGGGTATGAGCATTGCCTGCTGGGGCTCCTCTCCACACACCGAGGCCAGGATATCCCCGGGCAAATGGCTCCCAGGGCCAGGGAGCACAGGGCAGGACTCGCCATGGGTGCAAGGAGCTGATGCTCAGTGCCTGGATGAACCATGTCCCTCTGGTATGGACACCCCTCACCAAGACCCAGGGAGGCATCCTGGACCGACAGGGGACACTCCCACCCCACCTAGGGACACGGAGCTCACCCTGTGCAGGATCGAACATCTCCACGGTGTTGACGAAGTGGGGACGGGAATAGAAGTTGTGAGGCCCCGGCTGCTGCAGCCCCCCCAGGCTGAAGACAACACCATCGACCATGGCACAGGCAGCAAAGGCGCGGCGGCTGGGCACGCAGGGGTAGCGCGTCCAGCTCCTCGTCTCCAGGTCAAAGGCCTCAAAGGCGGTGACGGGCAGCTTGCCCTGCCGGCCCCCTGCACACAGACGAGACACTGCGGCTGCCAGTGCCCCGAGCTGGCACCATCGGTGGGCTCAGCAAGCAGGATGGGGCCTGCCAGCTGCAGTGCTGGGGTGGAAGGGCAGCACAGAGCCACCCTGGGGTGCACTAGGTCACTCCCTGATCCGGGGAGGCAGCGGAGCGAGAGGGCAGGGGCACGGGGGGACGCTCGGCTCTCCCCGGTGGCACCTACCCAGGACGAAGATCTTGTTGCCCTGCAGGAAGGCGGAGGCCCCGTAGCAGGGGGTGGGCATAGAGGGCAGGGGCTGCCAGTGGTCCTTCGCTGGCTCGTAGACACGGACCAGTGCCTGGGGAGAGGTGTCCGCACCCATTCCCCCCAGCGCGTAGATGGCCCCATCTGCAAAAGAGGCTGCGGTGAGGCTGGGGGTCTGTGGGCAGTGCTGCGGGGCTGGGAGTCCCTGTGCCCTCCAGGGCAGGCAGCACAGGCGCTGCCGAGCCCCACGGCCAGCTGCTGCTCCAGGGTGGCCGGGGGACGGTGCGTGCGGCCAGGCCTGAGCCCAGCAATGCCCCAACCCCGCTGGGACCCTCTCACCCCCCTCTCCACCCCATCTATCAGGCGCAGAGAGGAGCACAAGGCCATCGGCTCTAATTATTCTCGGCAGTACCATCTCCCTGGAGACACCATGGCAACACAGCCATGCTGCCAAATCCTGCTCCCGCTCCCGGCGCAGACAGCACCCCTGCACGCTCTCACCGCTGCCCTGCCGTCCCCTCTGCCCTGCCCACCCCGCTGCAGCTTGGGGACATGCCATGGCATCCTCAGACAGGGAGCAGACATGGGCACCATGTATGGGGACCAACCCTGGCTCCTGGCATGCGGGCTGCCCGGCTGTGCCAAGGCTCGGAGGCTGCTCAGCAAAGTTTGGGCAGGAATCACAATGTGTTCGACGCGCAGCACGCCGAGCCAGGCTGGAGCAGGGTGTTTGGCCACCCTGGCACAGCTCCCAGTCAGGGCAGCTGGGGAAGGCTCTTGTGCCCAGAGGGGCTCCACATCACCCAGCCCCGGGCGGCGACAAGGCTGCTGGGGCACGAGTAGGACCCTGCCATTAAGTGGCAAGTTTGGCTACTGGGTGAAAGCCTCGTGCTGCATCCCAAGCGGCAGCAGGATTCAAATCCCACCTCAGCATCCCCCAACCCCTGCATCCCCGCTTCTCTGGACAGTAGAGGTACCTGCAGCCAAGCCCTATCCCCAGCCCTCACCTCTCTGCACGGCTGAGATACCCATAGAGGGCTGAGCCAGCGCCGCCTTCTTCTCCCACTTGCCCTCATCCACATGGTAGACCTCGACGGAGGCGAGGGGACTCTGTGCCACGTCCACGCCGCCCACCACCAGGATCTGCTTGCCCAAGGTGAGGGCAGCAGCACCGGCCCGCGGCGTGGGCAGCGGTGGGAGCGTGGTCCAGCGCTGGGTTGGGAGGTCGAGCACCTCG